TCTCTCCTTTCCTTTCTCGCGGGATCAACAGAATCACTGCTGTCACACTACATGCTGAACCACCCAGAAATTGGGCTACCGCGACCTCGAAAGCACCTCGCTGATTTTGCTTATAGTCTTGCAAATATTGACCCTCAAAAGAGAATTCTGGATAACTCTCTTGTTCGAAGAAGGAATAAGAGAAGTATAAGTTTGCGACACCATTCTTCTGCCATCTCCTTTCTGCAAGTTCAACTAACCCTGAACTAGAGAGCAGAGATTTTTCATCTTCCTTGTTCTTGTCGACGGCTGCCATATTACGAACAGTGGTTCGTATATCTCTGATTGGTGGAGCACGAGGAATCCTGAAAAAGTAATAGGTTTTGTCTTTCAAGATCACAGCACAAAGAAAGTCAGCCTATGCTGTGAGGTACAACAACGGTAGGATGACTGATGACAAGAGAAAGATCCCTGGTCAAAGCGAAGATTCGCATTATCAAGCGGTGAGCTTCAGCAGAAATGGGGAGGCTATGGGAAGGTCAGCTAAAGCATTTCACGATGCAGTCCAGCGTTGCATTATCTAGCGCTGAGACCTAGCGAGCCACTGGCTGTCCAGTTCACAAGAACGATTTATCAGGATGGTTTCCTAACTTCCACCGTAACCACGTTGCACTGGGGCGCACTATTGAGCACTGGAGCGCGCAATCGGATCGGCGGACGTGTACACCTCCTTTGATCGGGACTAAGCCTGGGTATTATAACACCTTTCCTCGCGACCACCCGGAGGCAGCCGTCCAAAATTCCTGCAGCACCCGCTTCGCAGTGCAAACCCGCTTGCGCGACTAGGCGGACGCTGCATGCGTCCTTGGCGCCTCGCAGAGAAGTGCGTCGGCGCAATGTGGCTCGGGGGGGGGGGGGGGACCAGCCGCCGCGCGCGGCGTTGCGGCAACAGGAAATTCGTGAGCCAGGGGGAATGTAGCCAATTCAGGGGGGTTGGGGGTGAGGGCAGTCACTTGACATGCGTGAGAAGCTGGAATGTTCGAATTACACTACATCGCTGAGCCGCGCGCGGCGACTGCCCCCCCCCCCCCCACATTGCGCCTGCATTTCTCTGCGGCAGAACCGATGCCTTGCTCTACTCCGCTTTCTACAGCGATAGCGCTCCATGCGTTGACGACCACAATCTCGTCGTGGCTCTCGTCGTGGAGGGTGCAGCGACGAAAACAAATCGCCACGCCACGCGATGCCACGCAATTTCTGTAATTGCACAATTTCTGGGAATTTGAAGGCGAGGGTACGTGTATGTTTAGTATAGTGAAACAGGTAGCCGATAGAATGAGCAAGATCAGCAGAGTACAGAGAAGAATACAGAAAGCAGGCAAGGATTGATCATACGAGACAGGTGACCGTAGCATAAAAAAATCCAGCTCCGTTGTATCTATTACGATTAGTCTTTCTGACAAATTCGAACGTACTTGGTGTGCTGACACCACCCCTCCAAGGAAGCGGAACTCGATACTGCCGTTTCTGAGTTGTGCTTACAGTTTTGGCGAAGAAGGTTGTCCACTGAACGTAATACGAACCGTTAAGGATCAGCTCGGAATTAGTCTCAACACAATCGCTCACCTTATTCTGGTGGATAATATGCGCACGTGTTCGATGCGAATAACGCCTTTTCCCAGATAGACATGCTCGCTGAAGAGTGGGTTTGATGAAGGATCGAGTGGCTTCATCTCCTGAATTGAAGAAATTGCGTGAAGCGCCACTTTGTACGTGGTAGAGTCCTCTCCGACAATTTTCTGCAACTCACATAGAACGGCATTCCGCTAGCTCTGCACTGCCGAACTTCGATGCTTTCGCGGATACGTTCGCCTTTTTTCGAGGAAGCGAATTGCTCTTGATGACAACTAACCCAGAATGGAGCCGCTATTGAGAGACAGAAAGGTGCTGGGCCTTTCTCTGAAATCACTGTTGCTTCGACCATTTATTTTAGAGAAGGATAAAAGGATAAAGGATAAAGCATTTGCCGTTGATCAATCCCTTTTTGGGATGCGGCACGCATTCTACTTCCATTTGTACATTCGTAGTGGCGTTTGAATGCGATGTGGCCTATACAATGACTTGCGGGGGCCAGCCGATGTACAAGTCAGTGTTTTTATCCTCCCAGACAAGTCTGGTACCAATTAACCGACCCCGGAGGGATGGAAGGCTTGGTTGGCCCGGGCGACTCACGACCCAGGATTTGATCCCCGGACCGCTCGCGTGGTAAGCGTGCCACTTGCCACTACACCACTTCCGCCCTTTGTAGAGAAGAGGCTCTTAAAACTTACCCTTTGCGATGCTTGTTTTGCCGAAAACTATCGGTGCCCTGTGTACTGCTCGAGAGTGCGTGAATATCCAGCTACCAATACGACCGCGCTTGCTCGGCTGAAGGATATCCCGTCAAGTAGTGAAATCGAAAGAATAAAAGCGTTAAAGACGGCATCAGGCAGCGTGGGATGGGGAACTTTAAAAATGGCTATTCTCAGGTTGATAGTATTGACCTTCTTTCCGTTGTCAGACTCTTCCCACTTTTTCCCGACCTCGGAGTTCTTGAAACCGAATCATAGGTTAGGCTGCGAACTCCGCCCACATCGGCTCACGGCGCGCCCACCACCAACATTTACCCTATTTCTCTAACTTTATTCACTTTTTGCGGTCTACAGAACTTTTGAAACCAAATTATGAAGCTTTTGAAAAACTCCGCCCACTTCCGTGCGCGCCACGCCTGTCAGTAGGGGGCGACCTCCGTTCCTTTGCTAGACTCTATCCACTTTTCCCCGGCCTCCAAGTCTTCTTGGAACCGAGTTTTAAACCCGGTAACAAACTCCGCCTAATTTGATGCACGCCACGCCTGCCATCGAAATTTGACGTTCCTTTTCTTCAACCTCTATCCACTTTTTCCCGATTTCTAGGTTCTCTAACCAAATTATGCGGGTTTGTGCAATACATAGCGTCCATTCAAGGGCACGCTCCGTTCAGTGCAGGCATGCTGAGCTTAGATACTGCTCTTTCAACCCTACCTTTTCCTGCTCCATTAACTTTCTCCTGACTGAGTTACTATTACTTAATTATTCAACGCTTATTTGGAGAACGCTCCGCCCACCGCAAGCAGACCTTCCTAACTGGACTTATCGGCTCAGTGCAACCTTCACCATTTTTTTCGTCTTCAGGCTTCTATCAGCGACCTCGAAACTTTTGCTGCCGGCACCGCCCAATTCTGAGCGTGTCGCTTGCTGTGGGCGGAGCTCCACCCAACTGATATGTGCTTTGTACTTCTCGACCCATGCCCCATCCATCCCAAGCTTGATCCGGATTACGCAAGTCGCTTTTCAGGTAGTACCGAATTTCCGTAGACGGATGACCAAACAGATCAAAACAGCTCACACACAGCACACGACAGACAGGTCAAACTTAGCGTATTATATATTAAGGGATATTGAATTGCTTCTCAGCTTTCTTGCTGCGACTCATGACTACAAGGAGGTTTTAAAAGTACAAAATGTACCTCTATGTCGGTGTTTTGCATGGCGATTTCAATCATATTCGTGCCGTACTTAACGGTTGCCATTCCACGTGTGTTTAGTACGGATGTGCGCCTTGGTAAATAAGCGTACGGCTCTTCAACAGTTCCTGATCCATAGATGCGAAGCACCTGAGTTTCAAAAGAATCTTGGAAAACATGATCTTGCACTCGTCAGAAAAAATGAAAGCCTGCTAATTAAAAGCGAATCATGAGATTTTTTTCCCATACTAATTATACTAACGATGTGACTGCAACTTCCGAACTCACTTGTCTGAAGTTCACTTGATCTCCATTACGCGTTACACGCTGTATTGAGTCAATCGAAATTGGTGATCTCAATGGAGTGAGTTCGATAACATGCTTAAAGCCTCTAATGATTTTTCTTTCACCGAAGATTACTTCACGAAGGTACTCACGTTGTCGGCAATGCTTTCTTCCGTAGGTCGAATTACTGTGTGCCGCCGGATCAGTGCGCCTCAGACGCCGTTTTCGTCTAATTCTAATTCGATGTGATCGGAACATCCATTCCCCAGGATCTGTGAACCTATCATACTCAACAGATAAGTCATAGTGCAATGCCAGTCCTCCATCCGCCCTGGGGTGAAAAATTTACAGGCTCGTTCCCTTCTGATATGTGGGCCCGAAGCAGGCGATATTATTAAAAGGAGATAACTTCACACGATTAGAATGAAGGTCGAAGAAAGGGAAACTGACCTAGTTGAGGGACCCACGGACCTCCTGAGGGTGCGAACTGACGCGCAATTCGCATGGAAAAATTTGACCTCGGCGACCTATCATGCCTCAAAGCTGGCGGGTCCGGCGATCTCCGCCCACCGATCATCTGATCACTCGCCGTAGTTCAATACGTGGCGAGTGATTAGATAGCTGAGAGAGCGTAGTGTTGAAGAGGGCACAGCGATGAGAGTCGCATCAATGCTCGAATCAACGGGCAAGGAAGGGGTACCATTTCTCGGGTTCTGGGCCGTTTCTCATGGTTCTTCCTTCTTTCGTGTACCACTCACCATCCCTAGGTTAATTTGAAATGGGTTGCTTTTTCATCGTGAATTCGTCCTTAACCCATCGCGACCGGGCGGGATTTTCGAAGACTGCCCGTTCGGACCAGCGCCGTCAGAGACGATTGCGCAATGTCAGCCACCGGTGGCTGACATTGTCCCAGGGGAAATCCATCTTGTATTTTTTTAGTTTTTTCTATATGCCATCCGTAGTTCACGCTGAAACTTCTCCCATAGAGGTTATCAAGGGTCCTGATCACGATTATGGGATTCATTTTTGGCGCTGGCGCCAAATTGGCGCCATTTGGCGCCAGATGGCGCCCTGACTGAATTTCGTCAAATTCGATGTAAACTTGTATATAGGGGTTATTTGAGACCCTGATTACGAATATGAGATTCATTTTTGGCGCTGGCGCCAAATTGGCGCCATTTGGCGCCAGATGGCGCCCTGACTGAATTTCGTCAAATTCGATGTAAACTTGTATATAGGGGTTATTTGAGACCCTGATTACGAATATGAGATTCGTTTTTGGCGCTGGCGCCAAATTGGCGCCATTTGGCGCCAGATGGCGCCATGACTGAATTTCGTCAAATTCGATGTAAACTTGTATATAGGGGTTATTTGAGACCCTGATTACGAATATGAGATTCATTTTTTCTAATTGCCGAAATTCTACGTACCACTTTGCTACGCCAATTTGCGCTACGGCGCCATTTGGCGCCCCTCTGGCGTAACAACTTTTTTCCGCCACATTATGGTGAAAATCTGAAAGCATTAGTTACTGATGGTCTTTATAATGAACATTATATCTATTCCTGGTGTTTTTAGAGCAAATTGGGAAGCTCCAACCTAAATGCAAAAATTTTGTCATTATGAGGGATTGAACCTTGGACCATTTCCTCACCTTTTTTGGCCTTCGCGGGGCCGCTCAGCGAAAATAGACCTCGGTTTCGTAGTCTACGCATGAGCTCCCATAACATACAGAAAACCGTTTCGAAAAAGCTTTCAACATCCTGAACGACCCCCCTTGTTAGTCCTGATTGGATCCAATAGTGAGAAGGTGCAGGCGAGCAGGAAACAGGTGTTAAATAGCGCTAACGATTAAAACGAATGTCATATTCGTAATCAAGGCCTCAAATAACCCCCATACGCAAGTTTACAGCGAATTTGGTGAATACACCCTTGGCGCCAACTGGCGCCAAATGGCGCCAATTTGGCGCCAGCGCTAAAAACGAATGTCATATTCGTAATCAGGGCCTCAAATAACCCCCATACGCAAGTTTACAGCGAATTTGGTGAATACACCCTTGGCGCCAACTGGCGCCAAATGGCGCCAATTTGGCGCCAGCGCCAAAAACGAATGTCATATTCGTTGCGTAATCAGGGCAGGCTCTCAGATCAATAACCCCCATACGCAAGTTTACAAGCGAATTTGGTGAAATACACCCTTGGCGCCAAATGGCGCCAATTTGGCGCCAGCGCCAAAAATGGATATCATATTTGAGATCAGGACCCTCGAAAACCCCCATGGGAAAAGTTTCAGCGGAAAAAAAATTTTCAACTTTTTCGGTGAAAATTTTTAAGTCAGTTATTTTTTCTTCAATAAAATTCTAGTGGATAGAGATTTCCTTTGCCCAGGGGTGGCCTAGATAGATGAGGGTATGAAGATTCTTCACAGCAAAGAAAATCTCCCAGAGACCTCCTTTTGTTTTCAAAAATTCCATTTAAAGCCCGTCAGCCACCGGTGGCTGACATGGTCCGAAGTGGACATCTTCGCGTCAGCCACCGGTGGCTGACATTGTCGCGAATGGGTTAAAGTATTTGTGTAATATACTGAGCATAGCATACATT